CATGCCCGCGAACCCCCTAGATACGACCGCTTCCCCCGGTCGCGTTAAGTGCCTCGGCTAACATTTTCCTCTGCCTATACGGCGTTGTTCTATGTTTGTTGGTCCGTCGTTTGTCCTGTCGGTCGGTCAGTCAGTCGGTTGGCCAGTCCGTCGATTGGTCAGTCAGTCGGTCGGTCAGTCAGTCGGTTGGCCAGTCCGTCGATTGGTCAGTCAGTCGGTCGGTCAGTCAGTCGGTTGGCCAGTCCGTCGGTTGGTCAGTTGGTCTTACTGTCAGTCTCATATACTAGTTGGCCCTTCCTTCCATCTATCAATCAAATCGCCTATGATCAATAACTCCACCCTTTGTCAAACAATACAATACTATTCTGAAAAAGACACATTAATTCACGATCCCCCTTTCATCCCATACATACTTTTTTGCCATTTATCATGCATTTCTTTACTTTTGCTTGACGTTTGGTACTTTAGAATCAAGTCCGTGACATTTCTTGTCCATTTGGAGTTTTTCTGGAAAACTGCCGCATATCCTGTTTGATCAAACGGTTTTCCTGCTACCAGAAGTCGACAGCCAGGGTCTTTCGCGGCGTACTCGTGGAGTGACACAGTTTCCCATATAAAAGCTTCGATCTTCCTATAAATTATGAAATACTTTCAAATAGTGCACAAAGTCTGATTGGTTGAAGTCGTTGATACCAAATTCTGGTTGACTGAAGTTTATTGAACACAAATTAGTTAATGCTAAATAAATTCTGATTCACTCATCGAAGTCGATGGTACACAAATTCTGATTAACTGAAGTTAATGGATTACAAATCATGACGGGCCTAGCCTGCGTAGCCAGGCGTTCCTAGCCTCTCCGAGAGAGTTTGGGTCGGAGAAACCCAGAAGGGAGACGGCCGCCGAAGTCCGAAAGCACTCAACTTCATTTTATATTCTATATTACAACTTTTACAACCGAAGGTTGTAAAAGTAGTTCTACTAAGATCTATTAAACAAGTTCGAAAGACTCAAAAATCATATAGGGCATATAGAAGCACAGCACACTATTCTTACCCATCCAGTACAGCTTGGACGCCATCCTGGGAGTGATTCACTTGGTGTTGCTTTTCCATAAATTTGTAAGTTTGTGGGAAGTTGTTCTTAAARTAAGTTCCAACGCTGGTTTCAAGAATAGTGGTAAACTTGAGAGAGTCAGTCGGTTGACGAATCTACGAGTAAATTTGTTGTGTGCATATATTATATACATATAAAAAAATGAAAAATGATATTTCGCCAGTAACTKCAGGCAGTGCTGCTCCTGGTCAGCGGGAACGGCCTAACAAGTAGCTCCTTGAAAAGGATAGTTTTTAGCTGTTTAGAGTTTTCCTTTTCGATTTCCCACACGAAAGTGGGCATAAAAACACCTTGAAATTCCACTGTAAATCATGTGCAAGTTGTTTGTAAACAGACTGTAAAATTGATTTTACAGGACCAACGTACTTTTTTTTCTTTTTCAATCAATTTTTTATTACTTTTCACTTTTCACGCAATATGACATTTTCTTGTATATTTACAAATTAAGGAAAGACACGCATAGGCCATGCCTCTCGAGATGGCATTTTCTTGTATATTTACAAATTAAGGAAAGACACACGTAGGCCATGTCTCACGGGATGACATTTTCTTGCTTACGTACCAACGTACTTTTACATACTATGTAAATTTCAAAAGACTTTGTTAATCATTTGTAAATCATTCCTCGTACTCAATGTAGATCTTTTGTAAATGTGAAAAAATTGTAAATACAATATCCATCTTACCCTTGAATCATTTATGCCATCGATGTAGTAAGCCTTTTCTCTCTGTACCATAAACGCAGCCAGGTTAGCAGTATATAAAGCCACAAGCATTAGAGCTGAAAAGCACCAGGCACCCAGGACCACKCGGCCACTTACGAACCTTGGAGTATGGGCGTCCAAATTACCGCCAAACAGTCGTGAATAAATCAGCCAGATAGAAGTATGAATGTCAAATTGTCCTACGTAGTCTTGGTGTTCACTGCGCTGGAGGCCCGGATTTTTTGACTCAAGCATGTAGACCAAAAACGCGACAAGGTATAAGACAACAAAGAGAAGAATCCACGCCTCTGGCTAAAATAAGACAAGCAATTTTGCACTATGACGTCACAGCATGTTAATTTTTTGGTTTCTATTTCTTTATTCCCGAACAAAGTCTATCAAGTCCGCCAACAAACCAAACATATAGAATCAGCCATTCAATTTAAACCGTGATAGGCCTCAATGGTGGGAACTAACGGTAAACTAGCTAGTGTGAGCTGCGTCGGTGTTTCTAAAGAAACAGTTGTGTAAAAAGATAAATTTAACACCGTAAAAAAAAAGGTGAAAGAACTTACTGTCGTTTCGGACGTTTTAAAATCCTTCGTCGGAGTAAAAAGATATGCCTACCTCGAAAGGCTTTAAAAAGCCGGCTCCTGTAAAGGTTCCTTTTCGTCTAGCAACTAATATCGTGGTCCCCGTATGCATGAAAGGTGCTGAGAAGTCGATATATTTGCTTCTTTCTTCGGTGATGCTGATCGAGGACATCGCCATGTCTGCCTCCCCGTCAAACACTTTCCCTATTAAACCTGTCAATATTTGATGAGAAAGTCTTTGGAAACCCATATAATTGATTGATTGATTGATTGATTGATTGATTGATTGGTTGATTGGTTGATTGATTGATTGATTGATTGATTGATTGATTGATTGATTGATTGATTGATTGATTGAATGAATGATTGATTGATCGAGTGATGGAGGTATCGAGGGGTGGATGGTTTGGTTGCGGAATGAATGATAGATTGATGTTTATATTAATTGATTGAATATTGATTGATTGATGATTGCAAACTACCTCCAGWGATAACTTRTAGCCGGCATCATTCTTACCCGTCCAACGACCATTCTTAAACGATCCCGCACGTCCTTTTTCTATTATGCGTATCACAGGCTCCAATTGAAGATCTCGACTGATGAGAATCAGTAGGTCAATGCACAGGCCATAGCAACACCTTGGATGCTCTGTGGAGTGATGATAGTTATGTTGATGATTATATAACAAAAGTTACAAAGGTTAAAAGATATTTAAAGGCAAAGTCTTTGAAGTGGTAAAGTTATAATTTGCTTTGATCTGGAGTCAATCATGATAGAGACATGTAAAATGTACTACTCTCATAAACCACTCATCTTCAAGTCTTCTGATAAGCAACTAATGAATGGGCTCCCTGTGGTATTGAAATGATGTGAGGAGACTGGTATAAAAAAGTCCTACCCTTTTTATCTATGGTAACCAGGGTGCACTTCATCCCCTGCTGACAGTCTTTTATCGACACGTTGAGTGGCATTACGTACACCAAGGGCTTCGTCGCGTACATGACCACGCGCAGGCGCACACGTGGAACACCGCT